AAAGAATAAACAAATGGGATCTTGTCAAAATAAAAAGCTTCTGCATGGCTAAAGAAAACAGTATTAAATTAAAAAGACAACTAACTGTATGGGAAAACATATTTGCCAATGATACCTCAGACAAAGGTTTAATCTCCAAAATATACAAAGAACTTACACAACTCCACTCTAAGAAGACAACCAACCCAATTAAAAAATGTGAAAAGGACTTGAACAGACACTTCTTCAAGGAGGACATACAGAATATCCAGAGACACATGAAAAGATGCTCAAATATTGTTAGCTATCAGAGAGATGCAAATTAAAACCACAATGAGATACCACTTTACACTGGTCAGGATAGCTATCATAAACAAAGCAACAAACAACAAATGTTGGAGAGGGTGTGGGGAAAAGGGGACCTTAGTTAACTGTTGGTGGGATTGCAGACTGGTACAACCATTATGGAAAACAGTATGGAATTTTCTCAGAAAAATAAAAATCGACCTGCCTTTTGATCCAGCAATTGGATCCACTGCTAGGATTATATCCTAAGAATCCTAAATATCCTAAGAATTCTAATATCCTAAGAATCCTAAGAATCCTAATACCCTAAGAATCCTAAAACATCAATTTCAAAGAACCTACGCACCACAATGTTCATAGCAGCACAATTTACAATAGCCAAGAGTTGGAAGCAACCTAGGTGCCCGTCAGTAAATGAATGGATCAAAAAATTGTGGTACATTTACACAATGGAATTCTATGCAGCAGAGAGAAAGAAGGAGCTACTACCCTTTGCAACAACATGGATGGAACTGGAAAGCATTATGCTGAGTGAAATAGGCCAGGTGTTGAAAAACAAATACCATATGACCTCACCTTTAACAGGAAGCTAAACAACAAAACAAACAAGCAAGCAGAATAAAAACAAAGACAGTGAAATAGAGAACAAGGGGACAGTGACCAGAGGGGAAAGGGAAGGAAATTTAAGGAGAAAAATGGGGAGGGATTTGGAGGAACAAGTATGAAGGACACAGGGACAAGAACTAAAGGGGGTGGAAATGGGAGGGCGTTGGGGAGCACGGGGCGGGGTGGGCTGGGATGGGAGAAATAGACAGAAAACTGTACATGAAAAATAACTAAACAAAATAAAAAATAAAATAAAATAAATAAATTTGCCTGTTTGCAAACAGAGTAGTAAGCTGTAGTATTGCTCATACCAGGAATAATAAATTTTAAATTTGGTAATTATTTCTTATTTTAAATGCACCATGAGAGAACATGGAAAAGTCATCATATACACAGAAGGCAGACTATAACTACCAAGCAATGCAATGACCAAAACATATGGAAGAACACACAGCATTTCAAAACTAGCAGAATCAAGTGGGGTCAATTCATGTACCAAACGGCCATTTTTCAGATGCTAAATGTGTTCCCCTGTTAAAATTTATGTCTGGCTCTCAGGAGATGGTCTTTGACTTCTAAGTATACAAAATCAATTACAACCAGGAAAAGTATGTCTTTAGCCAAATAAGAAATATAGATGGACAGGATATTCTTCAAAGTCCTCAGAATTGCACTAGTAACCTAAAGGTGCCATAGAAGTAAAGGTCATGAGTATATGTTATGATAAGCAACATGCTACGATGATACTAAATACATGAATAGGGAAGGTCAAAAGTTATTGAGAGCAGCCTTTACACTCCAGGTGGGAAGACAGCTTACTGTGTATGAGATGCAGGAGAAAACAGTGAAGTAAATGGACAAATATAATACTGTGAATAAGTACAAATACTTCTGTATAAATTTATTCTAGTCTTTCTTCCCCTACAAACCTCTCCTCTAGAAAAGCTGCTAATAAATCAATGTGTGATCAATAAGTCAATGTTTGATCAATAGAGCAACAAACGTTTTCCACAGGAAGGTCTTGAGAGTCAATGTACCAGGGACTGATAGATACATTTTCACCCCCAAGGGAACTGTCTCACTTGCCATCCAAATCAAAGCATCCTTGGGATGTTCCCATCAAGGCTAAGGAGATGGAGGTGTGGAGCAAGCCAGTAGGAACTGTCCCAATGTCATTGGGATGACTTTGGAGAAGTATAGCAGACAAGAGTGTAGGCATAATTTGGACTTGGCAAAATTCACCTGTGACACATTGCATTCTCTAATAGGTAATATGTTTGACTTGCTTATCTGATGGGATCGCAGTTAACTTCTAATGAGGGAATATATGAGAAGGTGTTTTCCAAACTCTAAGTACTATATAAGTGCTAATTTTTATACCAGAATTATCATAAAAACATAACTGATAACACCAGAAGTTAACACCAAACTCATCTTAAAGTATACACACCACACCACAGCATAGAGTACGTTCACAAGCCAAGTGCAAAGGCATCTGTGCTCCTCTGGTTTAACTGTGCACACAGCTGCTGGCTGGTCCCACTCTCCTCAGACCTTTTCAAGTCTTAGATTCCATCTCAGGACTTATTCTCAGATTTTGAATAAAGTATCAAATGTTTTTCTGTTCTTACTCAAAGCACCATCTATACAAGTAGTCACTTTTTGAACTTACCTGGTCCATTGATTTCTTATCAGTCTGAGTAATATGTTTCTGTAGAGATCACAGCAATGACATATCTTCCAAGAATCTTTTCTGGCTGTTCCTTTACAACAGGAGGCCCAATGATAACTTATTCTGCCTCAGCTGAGTATATGAGGGCATTGAAAAACCTGCCTTTTTTTTTTTCCCTTTACAAAGAGGCCAACTCTTTTGCAACACAAACATTTGTTAAATTAAGTTAATCCATCACATACTACAAATTTCACTGGAACACAGATTAGAGAAATAAGTTTCTTTACAAGACTGGAGAATTGTTTTCAGCCAAGACACCCCAAGACGGTACAGATGGGGAGATCAAACCACCCCCAGGAGTCCTGCAGTTAACTGGAGCCTCTGGAAGGACATGAGGAGACAGCAGGAGGCCTGGGCTCCTGGCCCACCGATAAGAAAAAAAAATCTGTTCCTGGCCAACCTGGAACCCTTCAAAAGGGTTCATGAAATTCTCCCAGTATTTCCCCTTTCCTGTGCCTAAAATTAAACACATCCAATCGCCAGACATCCCCATCCTAGAAGGCAGAGAAATTACAACTCTGCTTTGACAGAGAGCCATCAAAGGTTGGGACAGTTTGAGATTTTGTTTTCCAAGCTCACTGCTGGCCTCGAGGAAGTATGACACCACCATTTTAAGCACAAGACAGCTGTTCATTTTTGGCCGAAGTTCAATATAAACCTCACAAATGGTCTGCTAGCTCTCCTTTTAAAAATAATAATTAAAAAAATTTATAGTCACAAAACCTACAATCTAGTGTTTTCACTATAAAGCTTTTCCTGCAGGACAGAGAAAACCATGTATTCTGAGCCAAAAGAGTACCAGGAGGTTATTTCCATCAGAAACATATAATGGGACAAATACTTAGGCAGATTGAAAATCAATGACTAAATCAGTTCCAAAAAATCACTGAACGCTAATTCTCTCTGATGTATTGAAAGATGAAAATCTAGCAACAGATAATTTACTTTTCAAAAGAGATCCTTAATGGTTAAGTCACTAAATATACTTTTATTAAGGAGTGAAAATAAGACATCAGAACACTTCCCATTCATTCTGAAATTTTGGCCTGTTTTAAAGATAACCCAATGACTACATTTTACTTACAATTTTACTATTCCAGCAAGAATTCACATAAATATCAGTGTGTATGTTCAACACCATGATGTGTCCCCAAAACCTGGCAAGTGTCCTTCCTTCTCTTTTATTTCCCTCCTTAGAGATGTGAATATGCGTAAGGGCCAAATGTTGACAGTGCTCTCAAAAGTAAAATAAACCTTTCATGGAGCAAGTTAACATTTGTTATTATTCTAGTGTGCATATTTATGACAGACCCACACACAGATTTATAATTTCAGGATAAACTAAAGTCATTCCTAAATCTTTGGACACTCTTGGGAAGTTAATAGACTTTCAAGACCAAAAACAAGAATGTGGACTTGGTTTATAAAAGCCAAACCTGGCAAATCCCTCACTGAGTCTGTAAGTGTGGGCTTCCCTACCTGTCTGTATTCTCTCTCTTTAGCGTTTATCTCCACACCTACCATCTGACAGCCAGGCTATCATACCACATGCTGGGCTTCCACCTCATGCCCAGTGAGCATGTACAATGCCAACCTACTGTGCGCCAGGCACTCCACCCTCCCCAAACCCCTAAACTGACCTCTAAATAGCAAACAAAATTCAGAGTCATTGGCTTGTTTTCTGTGTGCTATAGGTTTGAACTAACTGCTGTTATTCTTTATCCTCAGTCCCTCCTCCAAATTTCACTCCATGGAAGTTTGTTTTTTGTTTGTGGAGCAAGCCCCATAAACATACTTCATTGCAGTTCTTTTATAAAATGATTTGGACTCATTTCAGGAAATAAGAATAATGCAGACATAGAAAAAAATATCTATCACTCCCTTGAATTCAAATAATAAAAAATACATTTGATACACCCACTCATTTACTAAAAGACATATCATACATATAATATGTATATGTATATATAATAGGCACAAATACATAGCCTTCTCGTCACTTGAATTAGTATCATTTGTAAGCATCCTTACATAATTTTCATTTTAGCCTCACTGACCCGTCATTCAAGGTAGGAACTAAACAGCAGGAAACATTTTATCCCCAGTGAGTCATATGTTCTCTGATCACAAAGGATGCTTAGTAAATATAGTCTACTGGCTTACTTAAGAAAAGAGAACCATTTGGAAAGTCTTTGACTTATTGGCAAAAAATCTTCCTACTGGCTAAACACTGCCATTTAGGACACAACCCTCACCCTGCTCATGTGCAAGCCCTGAACTCCAAATCACCCTCCACAGACATACTCAGGGTCGTGTGATGACAGGGTGGGACACGGGGGGCCAGCCCCACCCTTTGGGTTTCCTTGGGCCTTCATACCTGTGCTGATGCTCCTGTAAGACTTGATAAATGCTGATAAGAAAAGTTTGGTTTTTAAAACTCCCCACAACACAGTCCTTGTAGATTCGGAATTCTGCAGCCGTCACCGCCTCACCCTCAGGAATCTGGGATAAGTTGAACTTGAACTCTTTGTGGTGTCGCTGGCGAGGGGAGAACTCCTTGTCGTACTCCACTATAAGATTAAACAAGAGAGAGTGACAACTATTGTTACTTGACTAAGTGCCACAGGCTCACCTCAAAAGAAAGTCTCTCAACTTAATTCATAAGTGGATTACAGGTTACCAATGGTTTATTAGAGGGATTGGGGTGGTGGAAAGAAAATTGGCGAGGCTGTCAAGCAGGCTGAGATTAAAATCCTTTATTTTACCCAAGGATTAAATAAAATTCTTAGATTTTATTCCATTTAAATACCTTAAGTACTCTAGATTAACTAAACTGCATGAACACAAGTTATTTAAATTCTTTGCTTCGGGTTTCCTGATCTGCAAAAAATGGGAACAGTGTGGCTTCAAAGGGGAGTTGTAAGAATTAAGAAAACGGTGACTAAGACTATGTCTGGTCTCTATCCTCCCCCAGCCCCATTTCCTCCCTGCTGCTTTGCCCCCTCCCCTCAGGTCAGTTCATCTCACCCAATCGGCAGTGGATGTGACCAAGGGTAGCCTTGAGCCCACCTGGTAGGCATCGTGCTGGAGGGAAGGCAATGAGCAGTGCATTTTGCCTGGGCCTGAAGCTCCAAGTGCCTTCAAACTGTATCTGCTGCTGTTTAGTGGAATTTACTGTTAAAGGGTTGAGGGTAAAGCTTCATAGATAAGTTGCCCTAACTAAAGTTCACTGCCCGCCCCCAGCCCCCACTGGTGGGACCTGATGTCTGAAGGACCGGGGTGAGGGTGGCAAAACAGAGGGGCCTATAGTGCTGTGAAGCTGCTGGAGTCTCCATTTAATCTGTGCATAGACCCCAAGTATGAAAATGGAGATGTGGAAGCAAATCAATAATGGGGCATCCTGCTATTTTTTTATGCTTTTCTTAAAACTAGGAAAGGATTGAGTACAAAAGCTGTGTTTTTTTTTAATGAAATCTTTTCCCTGCTCGAAGAGAAGACAAATCATGAAAAACTACAAGTACTGATTAACATTTTTTAGTCAGCTATCAGATGTCTACAGAGTCTGTATGAGAGACATATAAACCTCACAAGCTTAACTCATAATCGTTGTAGAGAAAAGAGTGCTTCCCACCATCAACCCTCCACGCTGTTCCTCAGGCTTCAGAAATGCTTCTGCCCTGCTGTCCCTGTTAGTTTTTTTTCTTAAAAGCAACTGCAGTGAAATCTCATAAGCAAATTAATCCTTTATGGCAAAGTTTTCCCAGGGCTTGTGGGTGAAAAAAAAAGTCAAATTATTTGCCATCTCCAACTGCCCATTTTTGTCAACATGTGTTGCTCTTCGTAATCGCCAGAGAAAAGCTTTGGGGATTAAGATTCTTTAAGGAAAAAAAAAAAGCCAATAGTTCTTTACAAGAACCTAAGACCTCAATGACATTTGCAGAAGCTGGGGAAAGTTAAGCCACCTATAGGTGTGTGGCTTTACATAAAGAATTTCTGAAATTGCCATGTGACTATGCAACAAATCTTTTAGATTCAAGTTATTTCTCTCACTTTTTTTTTTAATTTGGAGGGTTACAAAAGGACAAGTTTTGGCTTATGTAAGAGCTTGAATATAAGTAAAAAAAGATCTAACCAGAAAGTAAACCATGCTTCAGTCCCAACAAGAGAGCAGGTTTTCTAATTAGTGGCTAAGCATGAAAAGAAATATTGTTAGGGAGTTCACCCAAGGCCACCCACACATGATGGTGTATCACTTTCCCCTAAAACTGATCTGCCTTTTAAGTTTGATATGTTATCATTGGTGTTTAAAGCGAATCAAATCTGATTTCCCAAAGAGACTTTCTACAAAATAGTCACAAAGCTTTTCTATAAGGCCTTTTGGGTGCTTAAATTTTAATATCTCTAAATGAAAATATATTTTTTAAGATTTGCTTGAGAGAATGCTTAAGAACTCCTCAAAGAAGTTTTTCAATTGCTCCTAACAATTAGAAAGAAAATATGTAAATGTGAAGCAAGCTGTAAGATAGTAACAAGCTATTTCAGTTAAAAGGAGCAGAGATGTCTATAAATAAGAAATGTGATCATTAGTCTTTGGAGAGGTGGACCAACCCCAATAACCCGTACCTTCCTGTATCCACACCCCTGGGTGGTCTCCCTCCCCTACTCCGCTAGTGTGGTTCTGGGCTGGCCCCGTGACCTTCTTTGGACCAACAAAATGCAGCAGCGGTGATGCAGAGTGACTATCTAGGCGAGATCATAAGTTTTAAACTTCCTTCCGCTTATGTTTCTTGGAATGCTTGTGTGGGGAAAGATGTCTACAGTCTTTAGAGTAGTTGGACTAAGAAGTCCAACTGTGCGGAACTTCCATGCTGTGAGGAAGCCCAAGCTAATGGTGTGGAGAGGCTGTGTGGTGCATGGAGAGGCACAGGGATGAAGAGGAAGGAGGGAGGAAGGGAAGAGTCCCGTCAATCGCCAGCCGTCTCAGCTGGCACAGCAGACGTGTTACAAAGATGCCATTTTAGACGTCCAATCCAGTGGAACCTTCGGATGACTCACAGCCCAGCCACCTCTCACTACAATTGCATGCGACGCCTAGCGAGAGACCTGCCCAGTTGAACTGTCCTTTCACAAGACTGTGAGAGATAATAATACTTTAAGTGACTTCATTTTGGGTGACTTGTTATATATTAATAAGCAACTAACACAAGAAGAGGAGGGAGAACAGGAGAGAATAACGGAGGGAGATGAAGAGGAAAGGGAAGTTTGACCTTGTTAGGGAGCGGGGAAATTGCATGAAATTCTTAAGGGTAAATATTTTGAAATGCTGGGAGGCAAAAGGTACGGATAAGAAAGAAACATAGCAAATGCTCACAGATAGGTGTGAAGAGAGATAAAGAATCTAGAAATGATAAAAAAGACTATTTGAAAGCCTTCATTTTATTACAATGTGAATTAGTACACATTGCCTTATATGTGTGTTTTCTCATTTCTCCTCTACCCTGACAGCATTATCTTGAAGTACTCTGAACTTTCTTCTGCTTTCTCTTTATCCTTCTCTGAGGAATCTCATGTGTTGCCGATTGCTACCCACTTGCTTTTAAGTTCTTTTACCAAAATCCTTTACTCTGTTCTACTGGTGCCTCTACTCTCCTCATGCCTTCTTTCTGGAAGCTAAACCGCCTTCCTCACTGTCCCCATGACACTGCTGTTCGCATGACACCACAGCTACCAAGCAAAGTCACTGGAGTTTGCTTGGAACTCCTTTCTTTCCCAATCTTTTCCTCCAATTGAACCTACACAATGTGTTTTGCTAATGTCTCATTAACAAAAAATAAGCACAATTAGGTCACTGCCTACACATGCACTTGGAAACCACGATGGTGAAACAGTAATATTTCCAATGAGCTTAGCATTTCCCATTTAAGCTGTGTGATTCTCCTTAAGTTTCAGAAAGTTCAAATATGCCAGAGGGTTGGGTTCTGAATTCGGCACTCAGTATGTATTTTGCAGCCCCTAGCATTGGGCTTTTCAAGTGATGCCACGTGTGGTAGACACTTAAATGTGTTGCAGAAGTGTGAAACTGCCAAACTGGTTTTGGATTCCAGCTCCCTTTCTTCTTACTTATATGATGCTGAGCAAGATATTAGTCAAATTTCCAGTTATAAGTTAAATGGGAATAATAACATTTCTGAAGATTAAATACCACAATCTATACAAAATACTCAGTGGTAGAGTAAGTGCTCCATAATTGTCCATTGTAGTTATCATTAGCTGATATTTGAGAATCTGGCTTCTCTGAGCATAGATAGAGTATGTTAATACTGAGTAATTCAAATGTATTCATGAGTCTGTAGATAGGGCTGATTAATACTTCTGCTAAACTAGCTCTTTAAATTAGAGATACATTCTGTGAAAAGGGCAGCAAATGAAATCACCATTTTGAGTATCATCGGCCTTGGTATTGGCTACCAGATATAGTGCTGTGTTCTCTGAGGCAATAATTTTTAGAATTTTTCATTTCAAGGACTAGTGAAAATATTTTTAATGGCAATAACCTTGCACAAGGTCACCTACTTTTTCCGTTTGCCATTTGTAAGTACAATAAAACAAGACAACAAACTGTGTTCCTTTAACTCTATGATTTGATTTCTAAAGGTCCTTCTAACACCAAATAAAAAAAGGTCATAATTAAAGAACATATACAATCCTTGAAATTGAATAAATTTAGTTTTATAAAACTTTCTCTATTCTTTTTTTTTTTTCCTGCCCCAGACTATACTATTTGAAATTTCAGACCAGGTCCACACCTTTAGCCAACATGTACAGCCACAATACTAAGGAATAAAGATTTAAAATGTAAATTATATAATATGTACAAAAGAATATATGTAATTTATGAAGGTAACAAAGCACGGAGAAAACCAGCACCCAACTTAAAACTGGAACGTGATCAATACCATGGTATTCCTCTCTGATACCAGCCCCCTGCCCCGCCCACATGGTACCTAGCATCAGGAACAGTGTCTAACATTCCCTTGCCTTATATGCACATTTTCTTATTTCTCTTCTACCCTTTACTATATATGCATGTATCACTAAATCATAGAGTGTTTCATTTTTCTTTTTTCCCTTAAAGTCAATGTTCAGATGATGGAAGTTTTATGTGGAGACTATAGGCATGGTCACAGCTAAGAGTGAAGGCAGCACAGGCAGACAACCATACTACCTGTCAGCTGGTGGGGAGCTGGGCTTCTACAAGTGAAATGGCCACCCTGCAGGCAATGGGTGACTAGTAATGCTACTATGCCTCATATAGCTCTATGAAAAACATGGAGTGCTGGCAAGGATGTGAAAAAAGTGTATTGTTGGTGGGAATGAAAAATGGTGCAGCTGCTGTGAAAAACAGTGTGGAGAGTCTTCACAAAATTAAACAGAATTATCATATGATTCAGCAATTCCACTTCTGGGTATTAACCCTCAAAAAGTAAATGTAGGGACTCAAACAGATATTTTATATCCATGTTCAAACTAGCATTATTTACAAAACCAAAAGGTGGAGGTAACCCACACA